TAGGGTGTCATGTCTTACTGTGAGAAAGAGGAGGTGGAGGCCCTGATGATTCACATGTGGTTCATGATACACATGAAGCAATTGCTTAGATGTGAGGACTGTGTAAATGGAAATTTTCTCATTGGTACCAGGCATTGACTTGCACATATTTTTTTACGAACTGGGTGCATATTAGGAGGAACAAAAAAAGAAACACTTAAAATTAAAGACTTTAAGTCAAAATAATTAGCAAAGTATGGAAAACATCAGAGACACCAACCAAGTAAATTACTTAGTAATTATAAAATGTGTATATTAGGCAATATAGATAGATTGCCGTAGTTTTCTGTGCTTCAGTGAAATATAAACCACTCTTCAGATTGTAATGGATACAGGCCATTTCATTCCCTTATCATTTTACACCTTTGAAATGTTTATAATAAATCTTCAGTCCTTAAGAACTTCTTAAAGGAGAATTCCGGTTTTTAATACTTTTAGCCCATTTTCTGTAGTGTCCAGGATGAAATCGAATGATCGACACCAAAATTTTGACAATTGGTCCTGTCTCTGCTTTTTGGCTCATGCAGAATCCCCCCCCTGGCTGCTTCAGAATGGCTTCCGTAGTGCATGTCCGATAATGTCCTTAAAACAACCTTAAACGTTCTTTTTTAAAAATATGCTACTCACCGGGTCGTCAGCGCTGTTCAATGACGTTCCAAAAAAAGTTTCGTGAAGAAAAACCGTTCCTGTCTTGTTTTATTTAGCATTTTGTAACTATTTTTTCCGATACATCACAACCGCTTATAAACTTCCGCTTCCCGTTCGAATCTGAAGCGTTGCACACTCCAGACCACTAGTTGGCGACGGTATCCTCTACCGTCAAACTCAAAGTCCAATATGTCCTCCTCAAGAATCCACCTTTCGTATTTCATTTTCAGAGTTTTTTAAAGTGTTTAACAGAGACGTTAGCACCTCGACGTCGGAGTACACAGAGTGAAGCATAAACACTTGGGCCTTGCGAAAAGACTACAACTAAGTAAACAGGCCCCATTTCCGTTTCCGGTGGCGGAGGGATATTGACTATTCCAACAGAACTCAATGGGATTTACAAAATGCTAAATAAAACACTACAGGAACGTTTTTTCTTTACGAAACTTTTTTTGGAACGTCATTGAACAGCGCTGACGACCCGGTGAGTAGCAAATTTTAAAAAAAGAACGTTTAAGGTTGTTTTAAGGACATTATCGGACATGCACTACGGAAGCCATTCTGAAGCAGCCAGGGGGGGATTCTGCATGAGCCAAAAAGCAGAGACAGGACCAATTGTCAAAATTTTGGTGTCGATCATTCGATTTCATCCTGGACACTACAGAAAATGGGCTAAAAGTGTTAAAAACCGGAATTCTCCCTTAAGGGCTGAATTTTTATATACATTCCTACTCCATAGTTCTGCAGATATTTGGTATGAGACATTCGGTGAATCAGGTGTGTTCTAATAGAAATACCTCTAAAAGTTAAAATAAATTATTAAAAGAAATTATCTTGGAAATAAAGTTGGAGACCAACAGTTTACTTAAAAGACACTTTTAATATAAAGAACATTATATTCTGTCATATATCATGAGTTAAATTGCCCAAGAAAGGATTAGATCCACTCTTAATTTGGAGTTGGGCATAAAACAAGTGTTTGCAGACAAAAATATTCACCTGAAATGCAAAACCTATCAGGATTTCTTTTCATGATTAAGTTTTATTAGTCATAACAATACTTTTTGATTAGTTTAGAGCGATATGATAATAAAAACTACATATAGTCCATGGTCCAAGTACATGATTACGATGGTGTTAGTTAATATGTATAAAACCCATGTAGTGACTCTTTACACTGGCTTTAAGGCTTTAAGTGAACTCAGTTGTCAACTGACGGTCTTGCTTGGGTCTTCATGCTCACATATTTTTTTCTCAGCATCCCCAAACTTCAATTTCCAAATAAATTCAGAAATAAGCTGAATTTGAAGTTGCTATTTTTTTTTTTTTTTGTCTTGATGACTTTTTAAAAAAGACATCAATGGTAGAGGAACTGGTTGTTGAAGCTACCAAGACTTTGTGGAAAATGGAAATTGACGTTCTGCAGAAAAACAAGTTGTTTGTCCCAACCAACATGGACTGCAGCTATTCATGTAATAGCCTGATGGATGAGCCTGTTACTTGACCACTTTGTCAATATTTGTTTGTTTTTACCAACATTAATACTCTTTTGCTCCAGGGCAAAAATTTGCATCCTGTTTTAAAAACAACACTTTTAGCAAATCCTTTTTGCAATAATGAACTAAGCAGCCCAAATTTTTCCTTTTTTCACCATCAACTGAGCTTTTTAGGCAGCAAAGTTCCCTCATCTATGGGTCATACCTTAGATGAAAAGGTTGCTATCATCCCAAAGGATTCAAAATGTGTTGTAAAATTTCTCTGAACCCCTAAATTTTCTAACCACCCAGGTAGTTATTCAGGTGCTACAGTTAAGGGGAAAATAACAATTGCATAAACCACCAGTGTTGTGAAATGAATACTGCTGTTCCTCTAGTGGTTTAATTACATGCAGTAAGTTTTGCACAGGTAGATGCAGCAGATGCAAAACAAAATGACATCTCTCCGGTATTATTACAGTGGAAGCTGAATGCACCTGGGAGAACGAGCTGTGGTTGGTATGGATTTAGTGATAAGGGTGTTTCAGAGAGGAATGGACGGCTTATTAGAGATAAGTGCTCGCTGTTGTAATATGGTACACACACTTAACCCGTCAAATTTTATGTGATGTATTTTTTTAAATTGCTGCTGTAATCGTATCCATGCAGGTCAGTCATGCAGTATATCAGGCATTTAAAACTTGTTTATGCAGCACACTCAACATCACAGCATATTACAAGGTGCTCATTAAACTGGCATGCAAAGTGATATAAAGGCTTCTGAAGTTGGGAAGTTGTGAATCAGATATTGCTGTGATACATGTCATATAATGAGAAGATCAAACCAGAATCCTAAGTTTGTTGTGTTTATTTTTCACACTGCTTAAGAAAACACTTTGCTGTAACATTCAATGTTTTCACTTCGGAATGCAGAGCTCTATGTTAGAGTCCATTCATTGAACTGTTATTAAAAACCTCAAAGAAAGCATCTATAGATAATGCAAGTAATATGATTTGCTGTAATAAGGTTGATAAATAAGAACATTCCTTCAGACTCCATGCATAAACAGAAATAAGGAAACTCTGGAAAAAAATAGACAAATTTTAACAGATGTTCAACAATTCAGCAATGAGAGGTTAATAAAAAAATGGAAAATGTATTTAAGGTATTCATCTTTATTCACCTAAAAACTATGTCTGCTGCTGTTATTTGTGACTCATGTCAGTATATTCCTGGCTCAAAAAACTCCCAAATTGCATTTCAAAAGACAGAAGGTGCCGTTCTCTACTTATCTGCAATGCCTGATGTGTCAGTGCTTGTTTTGTGTGTTTACATTTTCCTGTTTTAAAAGAGCTGGAAAGGGTGCTTTTTCTTGGAAAGGGAACAAAGTGAAATGACTCAATGACAAAAGCAATATATTTTCTACATCAATTAAAGCCACATAAAAAGCTGAATGAAGATGTTAAGTTTCTCAACTAGGGAGGATTGATTGAATGAATTGTTGTCATCAGTACCTCTCAAATAAATGGCCACTCTTTACTGAATCCAGGTACACAGCAAGCCAAAAAAGGGTTGTATATCCTTTCTGTCTTTTAAGGAACGGTAGGATTTAAATTATATTATATTCCCTTTTAATTGATACACCTGGTACTGTCAGAGTTGTATAGGACATATTTGTATATGCATGTCCTGTACTTTGTAGAGTAGCTATCTAACTCTATCTAACAAGTCTTGTAAAGAAGTGTCAGCCACAGTATGGTCCACAACGTCGAAACAGTCAAAAATTTAAAAAGTGCAGTTATTAACTACTACCAGTCTGTTAATATCGCACAGGGGTCAGCTACAGTCCTGGTAGAATACATTCTAACACCCTGAGGTAGTGGGAGACCTCTGCTTGTTTAAGAAACGGAGATGGTTTCCATGATCCATTGAGGCTTTATCTGCTTCAGCAGGGCTTTGCCCCTGCAGGGAGGAAAAAGGATGCAACCAACTGATTACTGATTATGGTTACTACTGACTACACACAATGTAGATGCACTCAATATGAAAATATTTCAATCTACTCTGTTCCTGAGAGAATATTTCTATGATCTTAGATGCATGACGTGTGCTTGTATGTTTTTGTTCACATTATCATGCTTAAAAAGAAGTGGGGTTTTCTTGGAAAGAGTACAAAATGAGAAACCCAACAACAAAACCAATATTTTCTACACCAAGTAAAGACACGGAACAGTCTGAATGAAGGTGTTAAGTGTATTAACTCGGGATGATGCACTGAAATAAAAGGGTCATCATTCTTTTTTAGACGTGTGGTTGTTCGATTGAATGCAAAAATCATTAGTGAGGACCAATAATGCATATCAAGCCACTCCTTTTACAATCTAGTGTTCAACAGGAATAATTTATTAGAGATTACCTTTCTTAGTATTAAATGTAATTACATTATCTTTACTTAAAATTTAATTAACCCCTCCCCCCCTCCCCCCTCCCTTTGTCTTGCTTTACTGGTACTGTTTAATAATGCTTTAATTAAAAAATTTAAGTTTTTTTTTTTTTTTTTACTTTTATGGTTTGGTTAAATGAAGCTCTGTTTAGGAAGCTCTCCTTTCAGGAGGGAGGGCAACTCAGTAAGATTAACTTATTCTCAGATCATCTTTTGATTTAAAATGAACTATTGAAGTAAAACAAGATGTCTTCATGTTGTTTCTTTAAGTTGGATCCCATTATTATCTTGTCAAATTTGTATCTAAATCAAAATGTGCCCTGTTCACATTCTTAATAATGTTGACTTTCTCGAACCCACCTGACTGTTTCAAACTCTCTGTTTGTCTTTGCAGTATGAGTTCAAGGTAAAAAACATCAAGAAGAAGAAAGTTCACCTTGTGGTGTCTACAGATGGTGTCAAGGTTACCTTAAGAAAAAAGAAAAAAGTAAGTGATTTATTTATTTTTTCTCTCTTGAGTGTCTGACATTTTAAAGCAAGAGCTTGTAATTAAATAACACCCATGTTGATTATCACAGCAGTTAATATAGCCTAACTCTTCCTTTGGCTTTTGTTTGTGCGAAGAAGGAAGCTTTGAGATTTCTAAAAAGAAAAAAAAGGCCTAATTACTTCAACAATATAATATCTTTGTTAAACATGAGCATATAATAAGGTTACTGGAAAAACAGGGTTGGTTGTTTTGAAGACTGACTCAGCAAAAAAGATATATTAAAGTAGCAAATGGCGAGGGAGGTAATTTGACAATTGAAATATGACTCAGAGGATGAACAGCTAGAAATTTTTTTATAGGTCATGGTTCTCTGTAGAATATCAGTGATTTCTTGTGCAATGTATTAGAACAGTTTGCAGTTTAAACAAGATATCTTTTGAAAAAAGCAAGTACATAAAATCCTTTCAAAACATCTATCTCGTCTCTCTCTCTCTCTCTCTCTCTCTCTCTCTCGATATATATTTATCTGTGTATATATGTTTGTGTATATGTATATATATATGTATGTATATATATATATATGTGTGTGTATGTGTGTGTGTGTATTTATTCTGGATTCACCAGATTTTCAAACATGAACACAATCAGGTTTCTTATGTTCATGTTTTTACAAACACCTGCACTGTAAATCTAATCTGAAATGTACAATATGATAAGAATTAGGGCTGTTGTAAACGAATATTTTAGTAATCGAGTAATCTATCGATTATTCTTACGATTAATCGAGTAATCGGATAAAAAAAATTTATAAAATAAACTATTGGCAAATCTGCAATAACACCAGTTAGTCCAGATCAGTCCAATATCTCCTTTTTGAGCATCCCTAACAGTTAAATGTTTGTAGTTTAGAAAGTTTACTTGTAACAGTAGTTTGCTTTAACCTGAAGAAAAGTTATAAGATATTAAATTATATTCAAATAATAAAGTGGCAGGCTCATAAATATGCTTATAAAAATGTCTAAATGTAAAGGTTTGAGTTTGTACAGAGTTCTGCAGCCTTAACTAGTCATGATAAAATGCAAAAATGTTGCTATTTTTATTAAAACGATGCTATTATTTATTCTTGATTGCTTAGGTATAAACAAATATAGAATTACTACAAAAAATATTAATCAAAAATTTCTAATTCATACATAACATTAGCGAGAGGAAAAGACTGTAGCTTTTCAGGATGGAAAGACACCAATAAATAAATGCTTTTCAGCTTATGCCTGTAATCTGTTGCTGCGTATTTTTATTAACAAACTTACATTAAGTCCTGCATAATTTCTCTCAGTTCCACCCTCACATACAATTTACACTACCGTACACCCGGTTAAGTAACCGTTATGTTTAGATGTAACGTTAGCAAAATAATGTGCCTCAATTTACATCTATAACATGGCAGATTATCACACAACGTAGTTAGCAAAGAGAACATAAACGTTACCTGTTGGCAACCGTGTACGAGTTGGATGCATGTAGCGGGTGTTTTCTCTTCAGATGCTGCAACATTGATGTCGTGCTGTTGTGGTACGCCAATTCTGCTTTGCAGTGGATGCATTGTGCTGTGTTGTCCTTTCTGTTTAGCCTAAAATGTTCCCAAACTTTGGACATTTTTTGTCGCTTTCGGGGTTCTCCTTCTGAGCTTTCTCCGGTTCCCTCCATAGCTACAAACTTAGCACAAGCGCTCCAGGCGCTAACGGAAGTGGTAGCGTTGTGCAACACAGAAACCCTCCGGCTAGACCAGTGTGCTGCGTATTTAACAGCATTGCTTATTACAATACAATAAATTTAGCGAAGCTTCGAGGCAGATAAATTTCCTCGAGGATTTTTTGTAATCGAGTTACTCGAGTTACTCGATGAATCGTTTCAGCCATAATAAGAATGCAATTGACACGAATGAAAAGAACTCAGGTTATTTGAACAGGGTTTCCGCGAGTCATTAAAAATCATAAAAAGTCCTTAAATAATTATTTTTCAAATTTAGGCCTAAATTGGCATTAAAATTCATTAAATGTGATTATCGAGGCATTTAAAATGTTTTTTTTTCATATACGTTTATAAAAACAGTTTCGCCAGATGTAGTATATTGTGATTTATTTGCGCGGAACTACTTTCAGTTGATCATAGCCGTATGTTCGGAAAAGAAGCTTGAGGCGGAGAAAAAGCTAGAGAATCGGAAAATGCTAATTTCAACAAAAGTGGGTGGAAAATGAGGGATTTGGGACAAGGCTGCATCCTGTCGACGGTAAAGATGACAAAAGATTTTGCCATTATATGAGATTCATGGGTACTTTGCATTAAAATTATTTCTAAGAGCATTAAAAGGGCATTAAAAATCATTAAATTAGATTTACTCTAATTCCTGTATAAACCCTGTTGAAATGAAGCAATTAATTTTTTCTTTTTCACCTTTAATTAAAATGTGACTAAATGTAACATAATTTATGAATAATAACTTTACCCACTATTTAGGAATTGTTTCTCATGTTTATCTTTGCAGCATAATAAACATTTGTTTCTCATACTGTTAACCGATGTTTGCAGTATGACAAAACAGATGTAATTACATGAAGAAGAACAAGGGATTTACAAATAAATAAATATTAAACATTTTCAAACAGGAGGATTTAGAAGAAAATTCAGTAAACTAACTAAAGATCGCTAGATTTGTCTGTGAAATACCATTCATTTTACAGTTCCTACTGGTCTCAAACCATTATACTTTCAGCAGCATGTCCTGCATTCTAGCTTATTATAGACTTAAGGATCGATCTTTTCCTTAATTAGATGGCAAGCAGAGGTGAGAAAGGACAGAAAGTTGTGGAGGACAAACAGCTCTTTGGTGATCGAAACCAATGAAAGAGCGGAAATGAAAGGGAGAAGGGAGTTCAGAGATGACAAAAGAGTCAAAGGAAACGGGTGGTGTCGTCACTAGCAGAGTCACAGTTGCTTTCAGCTTGCACACTTTAGAGTGCTTGCAAATATCATTTAAAAACACTTCTTACATGAAATCATTTTAATATGCAGAAATATAAGGTCTATTTTCACATTTTCTCTTTTTAATTCCAAATAAATATTTTTAGCATGACTCCACTGTTAAGAAAAAGCAAAATCTGATTGGAAATATTTAACTATTGAAATGGAAAAGATGGAGGATTTAGCCTCATGTGCTCTCTGGTCTCATAAAATCTGAAATGTCAGATTTCCAACCAGCTATTTACATGTCTGAGGATGGCGGGAGCACTGATGGGCCAAGATGGGAGCCATTCAATGACTCAAGTCAACAAAGCCCTCTCTAGAGACAGGAATCAATATGAATAATTCCTGTGTCTCTGTGCGTTGACATTTTGATTGTGACCTTAAATTGAAAGATGGCTTTAATCAATTGGACAAATAAAAACTAATAAAAGGGGAGCTTACATAGCCTCTTCTTTAAAATGTGTTATTTACACAGTTTCATGTAATTAAGGGCCTTACTTTGCTTTTGTCCCTTGAAAGATTCAATTCTACTGATTTCTTTTTTTTTTATTTTGGATCTTCACAAACTACCAGGTTCAGTTTATTTTGTCGGGAGTTAATGTCATTGCAAAGCATTGCGAGCTTGTGAAATTAAAGGAAAATCTTGAAATGTTTTCAGAATAGAGAAATGCTAAGCAGGAAACACTTAGACGTAGCTATTTTCCTAAATTGACACCCTGGGAATAGAGATTAATAATCAGGAATCAGTCAGTGTAAAGAAAAAAATAAAAATGCACACAGAAATTCAAACATCAAACTACTGCTTTATATTGTTGTCTAGTAAATTTTGTATTAAGCTTTGTATGTGTGTCACATTTAGAATAGGATCTAAATGAAGCTTGGTATTTGTTTACAGAAGAACGAGTGGACCTGGGATGAAAGCAAGATGATTGTGATGCAGGATCCAATTTACAGGTAAGATTTCCTGAATGTTTACATTGAAGGCAGAGTTTTTATAGGCTGTTTCTGACAATGATTTTTCAATTATACATTTTTTCCAAAAATAATTCTTCTAAAATTGAGTTTTCTCAAAGCTTCCTTTGACATTTTGGAGAAAGCGAGGTGTAGCAGCTCTTTAATGATCCCTTTTGCAGACCTCTCAGAGTATTTCTAAAGCACTGATGCAGAAACATCCTGGTGGTTAGGGAGATTGAACTTGTAAAGGAAAGGTTTGTGTTTACATCTTTAAGCTTTCTCTCCCGATTCTTTCCTGAGAAGAAATCGCTCGGAATAATCACTTTAAATAAGGGCTGCAACAAACGATTATGTTGAAAACCGAGTAACCTGTCAATTATTTTTTCGATTAATAATGGGATAGTAAAAGGGTCCTTAAAGAAGAATTTTATTAGAGAATTAAACCTGGTGAAACTAAATTTTTTCCACTTGAGGAGTTCTGAATGGAGCATATTTAATGTAATATAGTTAAATATAGTTTTATTTTACAATTTTGGTAAAATTGCAGCTCTGAGTGGGTTGCTCTGTCGGCTAAAGGCATGTTTCTCTATACTGCATTTAACGATTATTCTATTACTAAACTACTTCAATCATGATGAATCTGATTAATTGTTTCAGCCGTACTTTAAATAACATTTTATTAAGTTTATGTATTAAATGACTACAAAACATAACAGAATGGTAATCTTACTCAGACCAGAGAAATTGTACTGATAGTAAGGTACTTTCTGGTCAAAAGAGTCAGCAGCAGCCACAAATAACGGCTAAAGAAGCATTTTATACATTTCCAGTGTTGCACCCTGCCACATCATCACATCTCACATCATTACATTGTACACGTTTGTACATGAGGTGACTTCACTGACTCCAGCCACATCCAGATAATTGTCAGTGTTCTTAGACCTAGAACAATTCTCCCATTCCATTACCAAATTTTTGTTACGTTCATAATGAAGATGTTAACTTTTTGTCCTGACAAAAGAACTGTCACAATTAGATGAAATGCTTAGGAAAACATCAGTCGTGACACATGAAAGGTAGGTAATATGGTTTAACAAACACAAGACACCAAAAACCCACAATATTACACAAAAAATAAAGGATTTGTAAATTGAAAAGTCTTTGGTCAGCACTGCAAAAATATTAGGTTGTATGATTGTATTGAAACAATAAATTCTTTACCTGTTGCTGTTTTCCAGGTAAAATAATGCTGCAGATATGATTGAATAATAACCAGCTTTATGTTTGATTCACTAGTCATGAAAATCCCCTAAAAAAAACTTGGACTAATGCAGCTTATTTACTCTTAACTGGATTCAGTCAAAGAAGTGTATCTACCTAGGAGAGATGAAATTTCTCTTGTTCATTTTATCTTCAGTTCTAGATGTGAAAGTAGCAATGGAAAAGCACATTAACATCACCATTTTAATTTTTTCATTTATTTGGGGGGGAGTTGTTATTCAATTTGGAAGAACTACCCAAATTTGTTCTTGCTAAACTGATTAGAGTCGTGAGTATAAAATACAAGTATTGCATAATATAGCAGCACTAGCATTATACCACCATCTATAGTTAATCCATTTCATTGCTTAAAATTGGCCACTGTGACTCATAAATAGCTTAACAAGCAATTACTAGTATCCACATGCCTAATGTCAGTAATGTATTTAAATACTCAAAACTATGGTCTGAGAGGAACAATAGTTACTTCTCATTACAGGCACCCTTTTCTATGGTAAACACTATTGCATGTGACATTTGAGCGAGCCTTTCACCCAACTATGGCATGAGGATCTGTAGCAGATAAGAATCTTAATACTCGTTATCCACTGGAACATATTGGCTCTTGTGGCAAATTATAGCATTAGATTTTTCTCTGCCATTTGGATTCCACAATGCTTTATCTTTCTTTTCTTGTACTTTCCTTTTCTTCATTGAATTACTTTTCCCACAAGGATTTCTACATGTTTTAATGGATTTTATCAGAGTAAGAAAGATTTTGCCAGAGACCGAACTGCAAAGACTTTATCAGATGCCATGTGTATAAAACAGAGGTGTATTAAGTTCTCAAAACAAATCACTAATTAAAAGTAAAAATACCTTAACAGAAAACTACTTTGGTAAAAAGTGAAAGTCACTAATAATAAGAGGGCTTAAGTAAAACTCAGATAATTATTCACACTAGTGGGAAAAGTAAAAGTACAAGGTAAATCTATAAATAAAAAAGCAAGATATACTTTTTCTCTGCCCTTTACTTTACTTGAGTGAAATTAATGGGGGTAGAATTAGTTAAAAACCCACTTTAGCACAAAGAAACCCGTATTCAAACAGTACTGTCCATAAAAACTCAGAATAAAACTAAAGCAATCTTGTAGAAAGGCTTTTGTGTGCTGTCTGCCTGAGAAAACTAAAAGCTCCTTTTGTTAGAATACAATGAAATGTGGCCACTCTAGCCGTGAACTTTTAAGCTTTTAGGACAATATTTTAAAAAGCATGTAGTGATATAGATAAATCTATCACCCCTCAAGAGAGATGAAAGAGGTTAGCATTTCTTTTTTTTTAAGGAGGCGTACTCAAAAAACTTTAAAAAATGTCAAACAAGAATGGCTCGATGTGTCACTTATTGCGATATTAATTCATAACAGCTATAATGACTACAAGCTGCACATAAAAAGCAAATTTTAGACTTCAATAGGTCATGGCAATGTCAGAGTTGCGAGACGTGCATTTACAATGACTCACAAACTGAACGGGTTGTAGATGAACAGGTAGTGTCAGTAGAGACATGTCATGAGAATTTAATTAGAAGTATGTTTATGTATGAGGGCATATCCTTTAAAGCAGTTTAGCGTGACGTGCCTTCTGGCTGTTCCTATAACTCAAGGCTATGGTTATAACCATAATCTGGAGTTCATTCATTTCATTGGATGCAGGGGTGTTGACCTTTAAATCAGCTAGCTGTCGTCTGTCAATACCCCACACAAGCATAAAGTTTCACAGCCCGGAGGAGTAGTTTATCAGAATTTGGAGGCCTAGATGGATATGTCTTAATATAACAAATGATTGGTGTGTATTTCACCGTGTCCAAATCAAAGATGTTGTGACAGCTCTAGACTTGATGTAAGCCAAGCTGAGCATGAATAAAACAATAAATTCTGTTTATAATCTGTATGAAGAAAGAGTAAAGTTTAAACTTGTTTGTGCCACATTTTAAATGCTGTATTCGCACACACTGACACACGCCCTCCCAGGCAGTACAGCTCTGAAGCGCATCCAGGAGCCCGTTGGGGGCTTGGCTTTTGGAAATGATTCTGTCAGAAAGATGGATTCAGCCCAGCTGCCTAAATAAGCATCTCTGAGATTAGGAATTTTGTTTGGTGGGAGATGCTGTAACTTGTTTCACACATCTCATTCTTTGATTATATTCTACATATCTCTACTATTGTAGTTGCAAAGTTGTCTAAAAAGAGGTGCAGAAATGTGGGGACATGTTTGGTGTGTGTTTCTTCTCTTCCAACCTCTGCCTCTTGTTAAACTGAGGCTGACATGTCCTGAGGAGACTGTTTGAGTCGGTTACAGGACAATTGTTACTTGTTCTCTCAGGAAGGACCTCTGTCAAAGGACAAACTTCAGTTTTTAGAGACATTTAGGTATTTACAACAGACAGTTCCAGTTCAAGGTGTTCCAAGTTTAAACCTTGTTTGCAGTGGAGTTTGAAAGCAACTGTTGTGATTGATAGATTTGTGGGAACAGAGGGCACATGGAAGCCTTAACTAGCTGTTCTTTCATACGTTTTTGTTACTTTAACTTCACTCTCGGATACATTTTCTTTTTGTGAATTATATGTCCTTTTTTAACAAATAGCGTCTATTTATTTTTCCTCTCCATGCTTATATATTATATGAGGGACAAATCAAAATGTGGAATGAGATATTTGTCAAATCTATGCATTTGTTAATTAGTATAATGGTATATCCATTTTTAACAGAGTTCCCTGCCTCATATTTCACTTGGAAATGAACCAATCAAATATGTTTTGTATATTTCAGTCATCCTATTTATGCAATTAGTGCTTTGCTCGTTTGGTATAGGTCTGATCTTAATCATATATATTGCTTCTCTAATTATAAAAAGAGATAAGTCTGCAATTTTCATCACTTTTATCAGATAAGTATAAATTGGAAGTATCCCTGGGTTAGAGGAAACCCCATGTGACAAACCGATGTAGCTTCTTGGCTCAAAAATATGTTTAAAAATTCTAAACTGATAAATTACCATGCCCTTTTTTCTTCAGACTTTGGTAAGAAAATTTGACTTTGAAAACTTTACTGTGGCATGTGTGTGTACGTGTCGTCGGGCAAAATTTCTGGGAAAAAAAAGAAAAGAACATTGTGGGGACCTACAATGTTTAGAACTAAGGTGGGAATTGAGTTTACAATGAAGTTAGGAATTAATCTGTAATAGTTAGAGTTAGGTAAGGGTAAAGGATAGGCTGTAGAAATTAATGGAGTCAATGGAATGGCCCCACAAAGATAGTGAGACTAGTTTGTGTGTTTACATGTGTGTATATTCATATGTATATATATGTATATATGACCTTTTTGCCACATTTCAGATTTCAGACATAAAGATCTAAAATTTTAACTTTGTGTAGAATCAACAACAAATGGGACCAATCATGAAATGCGACGAAATTTATTGGATATTTTAAGCTTTAACAAATAACAAAACAAGAAAAATAGGTTGTGCAAATTATTCAGCCCCCTTAAGTTAATAATTTGTTTTTCTATATGTATATATTACCTTTTTGCCACATTTCAGATTTATAACATAAAGATATAAAATTTTAACTTTGCACATGGAGAGACTGACATTTTTGCCAATTTTTCCTTGAAAACAGCTGGAGCTCAATCAAGTTTGATGGGGAGTGTTTGTGAACAGCAGGTTTCAGTTATTTCCAC